TATTCTATTTTAATACCTTTATTACTTACAATAAATCTAAGAAAGGCGATCTTATCTACTATAAATTTGTATTTTAATACTTTTATAAATAGGTTAATGCGCTAAAGTTATTTGAGGATAATAATAATATATTCCTTATATACTTCTAGAGTTTCTAAGTAAATAAGAATATTATCTAGATATACTATATAGAATTTATCTAGAAGGTTAATAAAGACCTCGTTTATATATATCTAGAAGGTTACTAGGGTATTCGCTAGTCCAAATAGTATTACGCAATATTTGAAATATCTATAGCGTATTCTAAAGGCGGTTTTCTACCTATCCTCCCTTTTAATCGGGATTCTATAGTATACGTCCTTTAGGTCTAACTTAGAGAAGTACTTTACTTACTTTAGTCGATCTAGTATTTTACTAATAAGCGGTAATAGGTACCTATTTTTAAGTATAATTTGGTTAAGTCCTCTATAGTCTATATATAATCTTAGTCCGCTATCTTTCTTTGGAATAAATAGAATTGGCGCTCCCACTAAGCTTATAAATCTTTAGATCTATCTTTTATCTAGTACCTTATTAATATATTCTCTAAGTACCTATAGTTCGGTTTCTAATAGGTTATAGATTAGTATAAAAGGTAGAGTAGTTCCTTCCTCTATTTTAATTATATATTCTGCTTCTAGTAATTTAGGTGCTAAGTCTATTTTTCCTTCTTTAAATAAGTTAGTATATAGTAGTATAAAGTTTAGTAGATTTGGGAGTTTTATAGGTTCTTCCGAGGGTATCGGAGTTACTATTACTATAAAAGTAGGGGCTCCTATAAGGACTTCGCTTATAGCGTCGTGGGCTATTATTAATTCTACTTATCCTTCTATCTTTTTTCTAAATTTGAATTCTCCCTCTTCCTAGTTTATATTGGGGTTTATTTTTCTAAGCTATAGGAATCCCAGAATAATATTATAGCCTACTAAAGTGATAGCCCGAAATTCATAGGTTAAACCTTATTCTTCCTTGACCTTATTATTTACTTTTATATTTAGCTTATAGGTTTTAAATATTTTTACCTATCTGCTATTAACTACTTTTATACCCGCTATTTTTATAGATATAGATTCTAGTAAGTATTCCTTAGCCCAGAATTAGTTGATATAGTTGGCCTCTGCGCCTAAGTTGATTAGTACTATAACTTTTACTAGTCTTTTCGGAGTTTCTATTTCTACTAAGATATAGAATAATAGCGTGCTAGTCTCTTCTTCTTATCTAATTTCCTCTCTTCTAGTAACTCTAATAGTCGCTTTTTATAGTTAAGAGTTCGCTTTTGCCTTTTACTCTTCTCTCCTTTTCTTTTAGGTATAGTACTCGTCGTCGTTATAAGTGGAGTTTTTATAGTAGCTATACTATTTCTTAATATTTGGTTTATTCCTTATCCTATCTAGTTACTTTTATTTAAAGTTAGAGTTAAATATATTACCTTTAGTCTTCTTTCTATCTTAGTCCATTATTATTAGTTTCTTCTCTTTATTAGGAGTTAAGTTTTAATAGTAGCTTATTTTTCTCTTTCTATCTAGTAGGTTTCGTTTAGCTATTATTAATTAGTTAATAAACTCCTTATATAAGAGGTCTTCCTTATTAATAGTATATTTATTAAATTCAGCTATTACTTCGGGGATTATTTTACTTATTAGGTTTATTTTTCGTTAGTACTTATCGAATTTCTATTTAAGGCGGCCTTCTAGTACTAGTAGGAAGGTAGAGAATTCGTAAATTAATTGGGTATCCCTCTGTTGAGCTTTAATATATTTAAGGTAGTAGTCGCGGAAAGCTCTACTTAGATCTAATACTTAGTATTATAACTAATCTATAAATTCCTCCTAAGTTGGTACTTGCTCTCTATATATAGGGGAGTATTAGTACTAGTAGGTTAGTAGGCAGCTATTAAAATAGGTAATAGCCTCTAGAATCTTATTAGTATCGTTTCCCGTAAAGTACACTCTTTAGTATATATAGAATATCTTAGTATATATAATAAAGTCTTCTACCTCCTTCTAGTTTAGGGCCGCGAACTTTTTAGGAACCTTTCTTATTAGTATATTTACTAGTGCTCTCCCGTTATATATAGGGAGATTAGCTTCCTAATCCGCTAATTTTACGATCTCTAAGTATTTTTCTCAACTCTCCTAAGGGTATTGGTCAATTTCTTCTATTTAGCCTTATCTAGGGTAATTATCCTACTCTTACTTTAAGACTATTCTAGTAATTTTAATTTAGACTAGTGATTCTATAGAGCGAATTCCGCCAAGGGTAGAATTCGTTATTTTATTTCTATTATTAGTACTTCTTTTAAGTTCTTCCTCGAGTATTTAGACTTATTTTTCTAACTCTTAGAGTTCTTTCTTTTCTCTTATAAGTCTAATTCGTTATTTTACCTCTCTAGCTACTCGCTAGATCCGTTTTAATTCCGTTATAGGATCCTCTTCTAAGGAGTCCTATTCCTCGCGGGTCTCCTATAGGTTATCCCTATCTTAATTAGGAATATATACCTAGGAGTCTAGGTTTGCTTGTGTGATTCCTTGTTCTATTTTACTAGATATTATTCGTATAATAGGTACTATTTGCCTTAATAGAATGTCCTCTTTTAAGAGCGATTAGAACTATGAGGCGGTGAGGCTTATAGACGCTATAGTAGTACTTAATAGCTAGAGTACGCGTTATACGGGAAGTCGCTACAAGAATCTTAATATCTGAGGAACTAATTGCTACCTTCTTTCAGGGATATAGTGAGGCATGCTTATATATATATATATGCTTATATAAGTACCAGGGCTTGGGTAAGTCACATGATATCTTCTCCGAGGGTCACGTGATTCCCTATAGGCGTTTATCGCGGTTGTCGGGTTGTGGCATAATATAGAGTATCTTAAGAAGTAGTTCTTCACTTTATATAATTCTAAGCTAGCTTAATTATATTAAGATTAGATAAGTTAGCTAGCTAGAGTATCTTTTTTATATAGCTAAGCTTAAATACTTCCTAATTTATAGTATAAGTATAAGTAAAGGTATTATCCTTTTAGATAATAGTATTTAGCCAAGTCCTCTTATAGAGAAGAGTAAAAGGAATAAGCTTTAGCTTTAAGATTAACTATTTATATACCCTTAGTTAGCTAACTATTTTATTAATATAGGAAGCTCTCTTACTTTTTGATAGTAGTACTAGTTAATCCCTCCTACTTTACTATTCTAAATAAGCTTACTAGTCTTTATAGTAAATAACTAGGTAGGCTTCCTTCTACTTATTTTTTTCCTTAACTTAAGCCTTACTATATAGGTATTTAACTCCTATTCCCTTCTTAATTTAGGCTCTTCCTCTCGATTTATTCGAGCTAGCTCTTTCTCTATAGCTTTTTTCTCTATAGTAGTCTCTTTTTTCTAGATATAGCAAGGACCTTTCCTATTATAGGTAAAATAGCCCTAGAATATAGATTTATTAAACCCTTTCTATCTCCTCCTAATATAAGATAACTTATACTTCTTAGAGATAGTTCTCTAGACTCTTAAGCCCCCTCTTTAATACCTAAGGATAATAGATATCTTATTACTCTAAATAATATCTTTCTATTACTCTAAGGTCTAGTACTTATATATTTTTATAAAGGTTACTTAATTTAACTTTACCTTTTTAGATAATCTAGATTTCTAGATTAGTTTAATACTAGAGAACTTATTATCTTTTAAAATTTACTTTATAGAAGATATAGAAAGCTTACTTTTATAAGTAATAACTTTAGTAGATTTCTCCCTTCTATTCCTATCCTTTTAAATAATATCTAATACTTCCTACTCCTTCTCTTTAGTTATTTCCTTTAGCTAACTAGAGTAAGGAGTATCTTTAATAAATTAGAGCTTAATTTAATTATTTACTTAAGAGTTATATCCTCTTTACCTTACTCTTTATTTAATACTTTCTATAGTTAATTTTAGTATATCTAGATACTACTAGGTCTATAGAATTAACTAACTAATTGCTAGTAGTATAAGGGCTTAAGCTCTAATAGTAACTAGATAGTAGGGTATATTAAGAAGGAGAGCTTATAAAGGAGAGCTTATAATAGAGAGCTTATAAAAGAGAGCTTAAAAAAGAGAGATTTATAGCCTACGAAGAGAGCCTAAGAGGCCTAGTTTAAACCTTTATATAGTAAGTTATTAGATTAAAATATAGTGTAGGATAATATTAATAAGGAGTTAAATATATAGCTAGTTAATATTAAAATAGTGTATTTAATCGAGTTATATATAAATTTATATAGTAAGTTATACGTTCCACTATTATATTTATCTTAGCTAATAAAAACGACCCCTTAAAGACTTTTGGGCGCGACCTCCGTAACGCTAGAACTCTTCACTAGGTATCGTAGTGCGATGGACGCTAGAAGTGATAGATTTTCCTGACTTAGCAATAATATTGTGTTAAAGATATATATAATTATCATACATTATATACTATATCTTTATATAAATACTCTTATATATTTAAACAATAATACTATTTGGTTCATTAAGACGACTATAAAGTAGCTCTAATTAACTATATTAAACTTGCGATATATTATTCCCTCTATAACTAGTTACTTGAGTGAATAATAGTATAGTTAATCGTCTACTTCCACACACGCAATACCGTTCCTGCCAACAAGTTCTCGCTAGAGCATCTGTATCTCTAAGGATGGAGACCAATAAGGTAAATCGCGACCTAACCGTACCTTCTATCGCCGAATACCTAGCTCTCGCTCTCTGCTCTCTTCTGCCTGTTTTGTAGTGGTAGCAAGTATACCTGGGTCTGGTCCCTCTCCTGGCCCTATATATTCGATAGTTACCTCACGCGAGTTATTAATTGAATAAATATAGCCAAAGCTAATATTAAATACTCGAAGTTTTGGTATTCGCACTATAGATCGGGAGATTGCTAGTATAAGGGGATCAAATACTATAAGATCCAGTTCTCTGCGCTATATATGTTGTGGCACTAAGCCATTAAGCCGCTTATCACGCTCTTGTCTTTTAGAACTAGTAATTGAAACACCTATATATTCTTTATTAGATGATAATTCTTCATCGGATGATGGATCAGTAAGGCCATAATTCAGGTCTTGGGGGTCAATTGGTATAGAGTCTGGGTCGCCCGTATAGTAGTATTTGCCATCTGGAGTTACAATACTTGGCTCAATCTCCAAGTATTCCAAGGTAGGCCAAAACGGAGTAGATTCGCTTTCTATAGGCCAAAATAATTCTGGTGAGACCACCCAACCTCCAGTAAGCTTAAGGATAGTAAGTGGAGCAATCTGTGATAATTTATGTAGAGCAATATTTAGGCTATCGACTGGTGAGGTTCTCGGTTCATGTAGATTCCCAGGAAGAAAATGATGATTGTAAGGTTCTGGGTATTCATAATATATGCATAGGCTTTTGAGGGAGGAGAAGCTTAATGCTTCCAGTCCACGAGCTAATACTAGATGCTTAATTAGTTTATTATCTCCTAAGAATAATAAGGATTAGACTTACTATAACGATGTTCCCGCTTTATCTCTATTAACTTTGGCTTCGGCTGTAATAGGCGCAATTCCAGCGCCTCTAGCTTTGGCAGCGCAGCCAGAAGTTTTATAGTAGCAGTGGGATAAGGAGATCTAGAGGGGACATCTATCTCGGCAGTTGTAATAATCCCAATACTAGCCAAAGTATTGCCGCAGCCAGAGATAGGGACAAACTCAAGATAACTCTCTCCCCATCGCCCATAATACCCAGTATCCGGAGGGTAATGTATCAAAAATATCAGATAGACAGGCTGGTATAGGTTATCCCACTAACTTAAAACTATAAATAGTCCGCATACCGCCCGTATAAATGCTATATTATTTTCTCTCTTCTTATGCGGAGTTTCACTATAGCCCTTATATACTTCGCTATATAATGACAAATCAACTATATACTTCAGCTTCCGCAGGGTCGCACGCCGTCAGTCGGAATTACCAAGTAGCTTAGTAAAATAGTCTAGTTGGTTGCTATGAAGCTTAATATCGCGGAATGTATATAACTCAACAGTATGCTACTATCGTCGGGAGACGCACGCATATACAGCCCGGGTAGCTGCCCTGGCAGCTCTAGTAGCTAGGCTTGCTTCTGGCCACTGAGGTATATCCGGGAGAAGTTCTAATAAAATTAAGGGCGAGAAGCTCGGGGGAAAGGCGGTCCATTTTCAGGGAGGATAATCCAAAGATAAATAAGGTAGCCTTTTATATATAAGAATAACGGACTCGGGATAATTGAGAGTATAGAGTAACTCAAGTAAAAGAAAAAATAGGAAAAAAGTTTAATATATAAAATTAAAAAGGAGAGCGCTAAGGAATAAGAATAGTTAACTAGTAGTAAAAGTTCGTAGACTATAGTATACGTATTATAGACCACCTGCGGCATAGCCCAGATAAATACGCTTATTGGATAAACAAGGTTACGGGATAGAAGAACCTAGGAACTCCCCAGGTCACGTGATGACTAGAGAGGCCCCAAATACTAAGACTATAAATAGGTCCACGATAGGACCTTAGAGTAAAAGTTTATAATAAAACTTTAGGGAGGAGGTCTAACTTAGAATTTCAGAATAATAGGTTTATATAGGATCTAAGGAATATTTAAAAGATAAGGGATCTAATATAGTATATATATATATAAGGGTACTTATTACCTACTTAATTTTAAGTTATCTTCTAATATTTAAGATTAAAGCTAACTTTATAGCAAGCTATAGCTTTATAGTACTAGTTAATATATATATACTTCCCTTTATCTATCTAATATCTCTTAATACTTTTATACTAAACTTAACTAGTATACTAGCTTTATTACTTATAAGGATCTCAGAGAGTATATATACGCTAAGCTAGACTTAAAGCTATTACTTTAAAATTAGATACTAAAGTATCCTTCCTATAGTAAATAAGTACTATTTATACCCTAACCTATCTATAGAGTACTTTAAGTTATACCTTTCCTTAAGACGCCTCCCTTATCCCTATAAAAGAAGTCTACCTTTATAGTATTAATCTTTCTATATCTATAGTTATAGGCACCTAATATAATTAATTCCGACTCAATATAGTTACCCTAATTAGAGAAAGTCTATAGCTAAAAAGACTAATTAATACCTATAGTAAGATATAATTATAACCCTAATTAGCTAAATATCTAAAAGGAAAATATAGGTATATATTCCCTACCCTAAATATTTAAAGAACTAACTAGGATATATTACCTAAATAATAAGAAGTTAATATATCTACTATAAGCGGATAGGAGATAAAATCTAATTTATAAATAATACTATAATATTAATTCTTAGATATACTAAAATAATAGTTATAGCTAGGGATAGTTAGGGATAATTAAAATAAATATTATATACCTTTATAATTATATCTATATAGGGAATTAATATAATACTTAGAAAACTATAGCTAGAAGATATTAATCTAAATATTAATTTTAAAGAATATATATAGAGATACTATATAATTAATAAGTTAGTTACTCTAAAAGAACTACAAAGGTTTATATTATAAAGCTAGAAAGATAAAGCTCCTATCTATCTCCTAATAATATCTAATAAAAATAATATTACTATAGTAATTCTAGTATAGTTATAGGAATTCGTAGATATATTTAATAAAGAATAGGTAGTAAGGCTATTAACTCTAGACCTCGTAGACTATCTAATTAAAATAATCCTAGGGAAGGAACTACTATATCTATCTATTTATAATCTATCCGCTAGGGAACTAAAGGTCCTCTAAGAATATATAAAAACTTCTATATAAAAAGGCTAGATTAGGGAATCTAGAAGTCTAGTAGAAGCCCTAATTCTATTTATACTAAAACCTAACGGCAAACTACGCCTCTATATAAATTATAGGGGACTTAACAAGATTACTATTAAAAACCACCTTATACTACCCCTAGTAGAAGAGATACTAAATCGCCTAGATAGAATAAAGGTATTTACTAAACTTAATCTTAAGGATATATACTATCGCATCCGTATTAGAAAGGGGGATAAATAGAAAACTATATTCCGAACTAGAGTCTAGGTATAACTACTATAAGTATACTATAGTACTATTTAATCTAGCTAATATACCTACTACCTTCTAGAGATATATTAACTAAGCCCTAGCTAGGCTTCTAGATATTATTTGCGTAATCTATCCTAACAATATCCTTATATTTAGTAAGAATAAGTAAGAATATATAGAATATATAAAGCAAGTACTAGCTAGATTTAGAATATATAAGTTATACTATAATATAAAAAAGTATACCTTTTTCTAAACCTTAGTTAAATTTCTAGAATATATAGTAGAAATAGATAGAATAAGTATAGATATAGACCGTATTAAAACTATTAATAAATAGCCTATACCTAAATTATACTATAATATCTAGGTTTTCCTAGAGTTTGTAAACTTCTATAGAAGGTTTATCTATAGGTACTCCTATATTATAATACTAATTACGGAGTTATTAAAAGGAATATAAAAGGAAAGAAAGAAAGAACTCTAGAACTAGATAACTAAAGCGCAGGAAGTATTTACCTAGCTCAAGGAATAATTTAAAAGGGGCCTACTTTTAAGGTATTTTAACCCCGAAAAACTAATATATATTAAAATAGATACCTTAAACTTTGTCTACGGAGTAGTACTCTTATAACTAGGAAAGGAAAAGAAGCTCTAGTACCCTATAGCTTTCTAGTTAAAGAAATTAGATTCTACTTAGTAAAGCTATAGTACTCTAGATTAAGAAATATTAGCTATAGTAAAGGTATTTAAATACTAGTAGTATTTAGAAGGAGTAGAATAAGTTATCTAAGTCCTCTTAAATTATACTAATCTATAAGAATTTATAAATCTAATAAAAAAGATATCCTAAAGGTAATAAGTTAATTAGCTAGAGTAGTTAGTAGTATATAACTTCGAAATTATATATAGAATAGGGAAATCTAACCTAGTAGACGGTCTATCTAGATAACTAGATTACTAGAAGAAAAATAAGGAGAATAAGGAAGAAGCCCTAGAAATATTTAAAGCTATAAGAAAGTCCCTATATATTATAAATAATCTAAAGAGAGAGGGGGAAGAAAAGTATAAAAAAGAGTAAAACCCCAAAACTCTCTAGAAAAAAGAAAATATTACTTCTAAGGAAGGAATAGATATTAAAATACCTATACCTAGTATATCTAGAAGAAAGGAACCTAGAAAGGAAACTATTCTATATATAGAATATAACCTCGTAGAGTCTAGAAAGGGGGCTAATAATAGCGATTTAGAAGCTTATTTATCTTACTTATTAATTATAAGGGTAGTAAAAGGCGAAACTATAGACTCTAACTCTATAATAATATTACTATAAATACTAATAGAAGCCTAGGGAAGGGACACCTTCTTCTAGGCTAAGCTAGTATAACTTAGGATAGAAGCGGGAGAAAGTAATTGCGTCTTACCTAATAATAGGGGTACTAGATAGTAAATAGGCCCTATAGGATTACTAATAAAAGAACTCGCGGTAGTAGTACTAGAAATTCTAGTAATTAGATAAGAGATTCTAAAATTAAACTATAATAATTTATAGAGTAGGTACTTTAGTAAAAAGAAAACTAAAGGAGCTATTATTAGGAAATACTAGTAGCTAAAGATAGAATCAGATATAAAAAGGTACGTCTAGATATACTAAATTTACTAAAGAGCTAAAGTCTCTAGATATAAACTATATAGAGTAATACAAAGCCTCTAGGCTATAAAGAAACTCTAGAGCTCTATATTATTAGACTTTATTATAGAATTACTAAATACTAAAGGTAGAAATAAGTAAACCTATAATATAATCCTTATTATAGTAAATTAATATACTAAGATAGCTCGCTATATTTCTTACTAGAAAACTATAAAAGTATATAAATTTATAAATATCCTATTCTAGAAAATAATAACTAAATATAGTATTCTAGATAAAATTATTAGTAACCGTAGTACTCTCTTTACTAGTAATTTCTAGTCTACCTTATATTATTATCTAAAGATAATAAGACGCCTTAGCACGACCTATAGGCTATAAATAGATAGTTAAATAGAAATCTAAAATTAGATACTTAAAATCTACCTCTAGAAGTATATTAATTATAAGTAGAATAACTAGCCTAAATAGTTACTACTAGTAGAATATATATAATATATCTAGCTATAGTAGTACTAGATAGGCTTCATTCTTTAACTTAATAGGATACTACCCTAGGTCTCCTATAGAAATAGCCACAGTACTACTAGAAAAACTAAAAAGCCTAATAGCTAGAGATAGAACTAAAGCTATAGACTCTATAAGATAAATACTAGAGTCTAATCTAGAAAAGGCTAGGACCTTTTAAGCCAAATATTATAATAAGAAGTATATTCTAATAATATTCCGTATAGGAGATTAAGTCCTACTCTTAGGAAAAAATCTATATACGGAATAACTAAATAAAAAGCTAAATAATAAAATAATTAGACTATTTAAAATACTAGATACTATTAGAAAATAAGTCTATAAGTTAAAACTACCCCTAATATATAAAATATACCTAGTATTCTATATCTCTCTCCTAGAACTATTTTAGAGTAGAGAGAGAGAGGAATTAGAGGAAATACTAGCAATCCTTATAGAAGACTACGAAGAATAGGAAGTAGAATCTATTCTAAACTATAAAATATAAA